TCATCAGCCAGAGCGAATATGAGCATGAGCCCGGCTGGTCTGACATAGCGCCTGCAGCTCTGATTTGTTGGCAGTTCAACCACTAACAATTTGTGTAGGGTGAGCTCTCCCTCCGAGAGATAGAGCAGGTCTATCTGAATCCAGCCAGCTATCAGAGGAGAGTAAGAGGTATGTGGTTCTGAAGGCTTTCTAGTGCAGCAAATGTTCTGGGAACAGTAGGGAGAAGTCTCAACCAAAGACTTCACTTTTGAAAACTTTTGGAGGGACTTCCCAACCAACCTGCTCATCTCTTTGTAGCTTATTTTTAACTCGTTGGCAGTAGGGGGACAGAAAAAGCTGTAACCCTGGAAAATTTTCTTTCTAAAGGTAGTTCGAGAGGAAAAAAAAAAAAAAAAGAAAGACTTTGATGTTTGAAAGCTACCAATTCAAATCCCAGCTCTGTTCGTTACTAAAACAGTGTGATGTGCGGCAAATGAGTCTCTCCAAACTCTTACTTCCTTTACTCTAAACACAGTCCTGTCACTGCAGTGCAAATGCTGCAGTCTTGGAGCAACAAAAAAGACGACCATTTGTTCTTGGTTGCACAGAAGGGGGTCGCCAGGCTGCGGAAAGGCAAAAATCTCTGGTGCGCCAATTTCGCACTAAACAGGTTTGATGTTTTGTTTGTTTGATTCCCTAAGTTTAGTTCTCTACTCCTGTTAGTTCTCATTGCCTGTGTCCTTGGGGGAGCTGCAATCTCCCTGGTGTCTCCTCCCTAAATTCCCCATCCTATGTGTCCAAGACACAGAGCCTTATCCATTGAATATCCTGAGACTCAAGATTCCATCTTCTTCTGATACATGGGCTCAGTTATGTAACCGACATAACAGCAAATGTTCAACCCAGATAAAACTACATCGTGTCAAGGTGACAATTAAGGCTAGCCATCAAACCATTTGAGACTGTTTTCAGTATTCTTTTTAAAAAAGAGTTGTATTGTGCTATGGTTCACATGTCATGAAACTCATATATGTAAAGAGTGTAATGCAGTGGTTTAGTATATCTGCAGATATATGCAATAAATTAACAAAATTTTAGGATATTTCCCTCACCTTAATCAGATGCTCTGTTGCCTTTAATAACTTCTCCTATCCCAGCCCCATCCCAACCCTAAGCAATCTCTAATCTATATTTAACCTTGTACATCCTCTATTCTGTATTATATGAGCAGAATCACATACTATATCACTTCCTGTAGTGACTATCATATTTCATCATGTTTTTAAGCCTCATCTATGAAATAGATGAACAACATATTATTTATATTATAGGACTATTACATTCATACTTATCAGGTCATTAGTTGACAGGCATTGGATTGATTAACCCTACCACCACCCTTTGCCTGTGGTCAATAATGCTGCTCGTAGCATTCATGCACAAGTTTTTCCGTGGATATATTTTTATTTCTTTTGCATTTATGTGAAGTTATAGATATTGGATACATGGTAATTGTACATCCCATCCCTTAAGAAACAGGCAGACTTCTCCCCAAAATCACGCAATCATTTCCTTCCTTCCATCAATGTACAAAAGTTAAAATTTCTCCACACTCTTTTTTTTTTAAATTTATTTATTTATTAAGGATTTCTGCCTCGTCCCCACAACCGCTTCCCATTTCCCTCCCCCTCCCCCGATCAAGTCACCCCCCCCCTCATCTGCTCGAAGAGCAATCAGGGTTCCCTGACCTGTGGGAAGCCCAAGGACTGCCCACCTCTATCCAGGTCTCGTAAGGTGAGCATTCAAACTGCCTAGGCTCCCACAAAGCCAGTACGTGCAGTAGGATCAAAAACCCACTGCAATTGTTCTTGAATTCTCAGCATTCCTCATTGTCCGCTATGTTCAGCTAGTCCGGATTTATCCCATGCTTTTTCAGACCTAGGCCAGCTGGCCTTGGTGAGATCCCAATAGAACATCCCCATTGTCTTAGTGTGTGGGTGCACCCCTCGTGGTCCTGAGTTCCTTGCTCGTGCTCCGTCTCCTTCTGCTCCTGATTTGGATCTTGCCAGCACTTTTTCTCTTTTTTTTTTCATTCTTCCCAATCTAACAGGTAAGACATGGTATCTTGTTACCTGATGCTCTGTGGTGATATTTTATTTGTGTTCTAAAAAATAAAGCTTGCCTGAAGTGTGAGTGAAGTGAGTGTGAAGTTAAACCACTAGTTAGCCATAGAGACCAGGCAGTGGTGGCACACACCTTTAATCCCAGCACTCAGGAGGGAGAGGCAGAACGATCTCTGTGAGTTCAAGGCCACCCTAGGCTACCTAAGATTGATCCGGTCTAAAAGACAAAGAGTCTGGTGATGATGGCTCACACCTTTATTCCCAGTACTTGGAAGCCACACACCTTTAATCCCAGCACTAGGAATGTGGAGACAGGAAGGGATATGGCTGGGTGGGGAGAAAAATATAAGGCGGGAAGAGACAGGAGCTTAAGGCATTCAGTCTGAGGACTTTTAGAGGCAGGATACCCCATTCAGTCTGAGGATTCAGAAGAGGTAAGAACTAGTGACTAGCTTCTCTGCTTACACCCGCTAATATCTGACTCTGTGTTTTTATTATTAAGACGAGTTGGAAATTGCTCTATAGCTGATGGTACTGGCCAGTTTTATGACAAGTTCATGCAAACTAGAATCATTTGAGAAGAGGGAACTGCAAATGAGAAAATGCCTCTATCAGAACGACCTATGGGCAGGCCTTGGGATATTTTCTTGATAAATGATTGATGTTGGCAGTGCCACTCCTGCCTTTTAAACCATCTTCGGGTTGTCCTCTAGAAGAAGAAAGACCTGCATTCTCTCTTCAAGATGGTTAACTGGACTTACTTTAAAGACTTTCTTTATCAAAAGTGTCTTATATTTGGATAGATAGAAGATCTACTTGTTGGTAACTTCTTTCATACCCTAAACAGGATCTGCTCCCTTCATCTTCCACTGTCATCAAATCCCATCCTCTTTTCCAGAGGTTGCTTTTGTGCTAATTGGTATAATTTTGAGGGTCCTTGCATATTTTATACACATGTCAATGTTTCTCTCATTTTGTTTATGCAATGTGCCTCAGACAGAAGCTTCGTCCACTCTATTTAACCCTTGGCACTCTTTTGCCAGAACCTCAAAAAATGACTAGCATTCAGAACAACAGAAATGTTTATATAAGAAGTAAATATATATTAAGTGGCTTAATATCCTCTGCCATCCAAGGGGTCTGCATCCAGAACTGTATAATAGGCTCCAGAGGGGGCTTCCTCAATGCCAAGCACAATCATCTTCTTGTGCAAAAACTTAGAAAAAAAAATCCCAACTGCAACTCCAAAACTCGGACTGAGGGGTCCCTTGCGTGGAAAGGCCATGATGAACTAACTCAATGAAGAGAATAAAGCAGTAAGTCAAAAATAAAAGAATAAAGTAAAAATAAGAGCACACTGACAACATGTATTCCAGTAGTCCTTTAGTCTTTGTCCATAGTTCCACGTAAGTGTTCCCAAATACACACACTTCCCTGGGTCAAACCTAGGCTTCAGAAACCAGTCACGTCTCCATGGTGCAGAAGTAAGGACTATAAGGACAGCCCGGGGAGGGGCCAGACAGGCTAACAGGCAGCTGAAATTCATTCCGTAAAGCAGAAGAGTCAAATAATAAGCTAATTGGCAACTCCTTTATTTCAGAAGAGAAGGAGATCACAACGACTGCTTGAATCAGTCAAGCATGGGCTGTGTGTGTTTTTCTATATTCATTGTACTGCTTATCTGCAGTGGGTGAGGAAGACCACCCCAGCAAAGGTGAAAGAAATATGTCACTGTAACCATTACTCTTTACCAGGGAAGCTGAGTCCTGAGAATTCTGCCCTATTGGTCGGAGCGGCTCTCCCTACAATGTGCCCTTCTGCTAAGCATCTCAAAGCTTAGGTCTTTTTATCACACCTAACCAAAAAGCTCATATCAATTTTCTTAACTAGTCAGCTTCTCAGTTTGAAGTGGGTAGGGGGTAGCGGAACATTCTGGGACATAAAGAAGGTAGGTAAGGATGGGAAACACAGATGAGGGTTTTCCGCTCTGTGTTTCTCCAGAACCCACCTCCCAGCTCCTCACTTTTCCCTGCTTTTCCAGTGGAGACCCTAGAACTTCTCCCTCCATTCACGAAAGTGATGCTGTGCATTTTGATCTGGGGTTTGTGGTTAAAATTCTGGAAGAAACTCTAAACTTAGTTTTCACCATTCCCCCAGTGTTTGCAAGGCCGTGCCTGCTGCTACTGAACAAACAGACACAGGACTGAGTGTCTAAGAGAAAAGTACATATTGTAACTGTTTGTTTTGGAAAAGTAATTTCCTCTATCAGTTCATTTCCATCAATTTTATCAATTCACGTAAGCCTCCTAATCCAAGCGATATGCCACATATTGCTGCAGAAGTGGAAGGAGATTTCTTGGTTTCTGTATTTCTGCACTAGGATTCCAGGCAAGGCTCCTATCGACTTAACTCCATTTTCATAGCTCTTAGTTCAGTGTCTGTGAGTCTATCATGTTCTAGGGCTCTCCGGCAATGAAAAAACCCATACTCACCCCTTCAAACTGTCTAAAGTTATTATGGAATGGGATGTTCACCCAGTTTTTGCGGCAATGCATTTCTTGGGGGTTGCTAAGAGGAAAATCTACTAAAGCTTTCCTACACGCTGTGAGAATTGATGAATATTTCCAATACTTTTTAAAAACACAAGGTAGGCTCAAGGAGATACATGATTCAGTTCCTTGATAGATTGATACCCAAAGCAGGTCTCACAGATATACTAATTTGAACAGATCCATCTTTGGAAATTTTTTATTTACAGAACTCATTGCTGTCTCCTTCTAATGTAATGAGATTTCATAATGAAGTCCAAATACAATCTGCTAGAGGAAGAGGGCATGTAATGCTGATTCTAATAAGCCTGCTAAAATCAATAACGTTGTTAGTTTCCCTGAAACCAGACGGCATTGGCTCACAGAACCGTGTTCTGCCTACAGCACGGTATTAGTGGTTTATGTTTTATTGGGCAGATTTCTTCCATAGGGGAGGAAGATAGAAACTTAAAGAAATGTTATTAAACGTGTCTTTAGGCTCCAGGTGACCCCACATGTGCTTGCTTCTCTCTTTTAATCAGCTCTTGGTTCCTGTGGAAATCACCTGACATCATCCTTGTGCTGCTCATTCCTCGCACCTAATTCTCCGTTCTCATTATCCCTCTCTCCCCTCCTGCTTTCAAAGGCCTGGCACGAAGAGGAAACTGCATGCTGGGGTATCTCACAGAGGCCACGGAGAGAAGAGCTCTGAGTAAACTCGCGCCTTTCCTCGAGACCTCGGCAATAGGATCCTTCTCTCTCTGTGTCATTGTCTAGCTGAAACGAAAACCCCTGTGGTGAAGACAGGGCAGCTCAGGATACAGCAGGTGAGTTCTGACCATGCAAGGTAAAGATGAACTGCCAGAGACCCTGCATGGCCCAAAAAGATTTTAAACATCTAAGGAGGGTCTACCAGAAGCAGGCTAGCCTCATGGTTGCAGAAAAAAATATCTAGAGGGAGTATGATGGGAAAGGAACATGGGAATTTTGCAGTCTTAATGACAAGTTTGATAATCTGCTCTCTATTCAACAATTGCCGAAGGCTTTGGGTCTAACTCACTAAACCCTATGGGGCAGATGCTGTCATTCATTATCTTCACCTTTATAAACATGTCCTCCATGGCTGCAGTCAGGAGTGTGGCTAAGTGTCCCTCATGGACAATCTTCTAGGCTCTATCTCTGGCCTTCCCCTCTGTGAAATGCCCTTGCTATATAGCTCATCTGTTCTTCTGGTGTTAACAGCCACCTCTGTCATTTCCGTAACCACGCTCCTCTCCCCTGTGCTCAGAGAGTCTGCGTAAAGAAACAACAAGCTGAATTGTTCTCTCCAAGTCCGTGAAGCCTATACTCCTGATAGGACTCATAGGTAAGCATGATTAAGTATAGTCACAATACGAAGTACATCACAAAGTGGATCATGCAGCTTGTAAGAATCTATGCTGGCCGTAATGGTCACTTGTATTGATGGCTTCTTGTTAGTATCGAGTCCCTTAAACTTTGCATCTGAGTGAAATCAACCTAAAGACATTCCCTGTTGTCTCTCAATGCTGACTGTCTTAGTCACTGTCCCACTGTAGAGCCCCAAGCACCAGCCCCAAGTTTTCCAAGCCCTAGTCTTCCTCTAGAACATAGTGGGTTCCTATGCTGCAGGTGGTATGGCCATGGACACCTGAGAAATCCTAGTAGAATTGCTCCATCCACGCTGATATTTTCTTTATTTTCCCCAGTTTACCTTCTAAAAACCAAATCATTTTATATCTATTTATAAAATTTACAACCTCCACACCCATATAGAGACAATCTACTTGAATTGATTTGATGCATATATGGTGCCTTGAAATTAGTATCCAACCTTTTGTATGTGTACTTCATATTATTCTCAATATATAGTGTAAGCATCTTGACAAAATAAACAGCATCTTACAGATTTGGGAATAGCTAATTGGAGAATCTCCATGAAGAGGATCAAGAAGTATGGATTAATTCACTGGTTGATTACAGAGGTGGGCCAAGATACAGGAACAACAGAAGACATCCATGGTTGTGTCTTCTTTTCTCCATGCTGGTGTTGTGCAGTCCAATAGATCAAAAAAGCTTTCTGGGTCCTGGACATTGTTCTGAACCGGAACAGTTGAGTCTAGTTCAAATTCAATTAAACTAAACAAAGAAAAATGCCAGAGAAGGAGCACAGCCAAATTAGCTTGGGGGAGCTCCCTTTTAATTTCATTTTTGAACCTAAAATCAAATCAACCGATTCTCATTGAGTTCTTACTATGTACAAAGAGGTGTGCACAAACATACGTACCTGGGACAGTTCCTGTCTCTTAAGGAAGGCTTCATAAAGCAGCCCTGATATTCAAGGACAATAGACACCATATTTTATACATGTTTTAAAATCTTAGGATAAATGATTTAATGTATTTGAGCCTCTAGGGCTTATTTATTTAATTCCATTGGTTTGGAATGGCTTGGATTTATTCCTTTTGGTTCTTCTATTTGAACCAAAGAAGCAGGGGCAATGAGAGCCATCTTGCTTTCATGGGAAGTCTGAGAATTAAGCTAGCACTTATACTCAGAAGTGAAACAGTTCAATTTGATACTCCAGCCTTACTTGGTCATTTCTTTATCAGATCTCTGTCCTGGATAGATTCTGTAATGTGACTGCAACCCCTGGAAATACAGTACTCAACTTCTACCCATAAAGACAGAGATGAGGAGGAGTCCAGACTCTGTGAGGCTAACAGTGCAGAGGTGGCATCTGAAGTTCAGTCTGGAGGATGCTATTGTATCCTGGAGCCGCCTGCATGGAAGCTTCTTGCAGTGTGAGATAATACTTTTCTTTGTATTCAAGGCATTTTGATCTGCCCAATCGCGGCCTTAACATTTTCTGCCAAAGAGCATAAAAAAAAAAAAAAATCTTATCTGGAGGGTTTCTTCTCTACTGCCTTCACTTTAAAAGAAAATGATACAAATACAATGAAACAATTTTTAAATGGCAGTTTAATAAAAATCACATAGTTTTACCACATATTTCTCTTATCTTTTAGGTTGTAAGTATAGCTTTTAAGGGCTGAACCATCTCTCCACCCATACGATATATTTCTCAATGTATAAAAACTCTGTTTTCATATTGAACATATTGTTGTTACTACCTTTGTTCTCTCACCCTTTACTAACGTCCTTCACTGTCTCTGCAGCCTCGGGGCTGACGACCTCACTGCATGGCTGTCAGGCAATCTCAGAGTCATCACAGCAAAGATGGAGAACATAACGCTTTCAGTTACAAGGGTTAATGAGGATGGAGGAGGAAGACTACGTCACTCAAGTTGTTAAAACCCTGCAGCATCTGACCCTGTGTGTACCGGATGCTAAAAAGAGATGCCAGCCACCGAAGCAGAAGCCATACTATCCAACTCTGAGGGAGACTCTAGTTAAAGCCAAAAATAACAAACTTCTCTTCTCTATGACAATTAAGGGGAATTAAAAATTCAGGCAACCTGGTTCAACCCATAAATGGCATAAATCCATCTTCCTGTAACATTTTTGTATCTCCGAATACCACTTATTCTACCCTTCTCTGGGTGCGATCATAATAGACAGCATAATGAACACTATCCATCAACATATGATAAAAATAGTCAATAACTAATGTCATTGAGGTGTCTTGAATAAGAAATGTCCCCATCAGCTTTATGTACTCGAGCAGTCGGTCCCCAGTTGGTGGTGCTGTTTGGGTGGATTGTAACACTTTTAGAACATAGATTTTGCTGGAGGAAATAGACCAGTATGGTCTCCCTTTCAGAGTTAATGGCCTCATTCACTTCATGCTTCTTCCTTCTGCTTCCAGGATGTAGCTGAGATTTGATCTTCCTGGTCCAGATTCCCACTACCATTCCTCTCCCGCCATTATGGGCTCTCCCTCTGGAACCAGACACTAAAATAAACCCTTTCTTCTATGAATCACTCTTGGTCATGGTATCTCATTATAGCAAAAGAAAAATAATGAATATAATCTACCTCTATATTTTTAGTGGAAGTCATACACAGGACAGATTCAGAGTAAAATGTGTCATTTTAATGCTACTCACCTTATATTCATGCTTTGATTTTAAGATTTACTTTGCTATTTTAAAATGTGTGTGTGTGTGTGTGTGTGTGTGTGTGTGTGCCTGTGTGTGCCTGTGTGTGCCTGTGTGTAAGACAGGTGCCCTCCAGAACCAGAAGACCGTGCCATATCCCCAGGAGCTGGAGTTATAGGCAGTTATGAGTAGCCTGGCCGGGGTTCTGAAAACCAAATTCAGATCCACTACAAGAATGTCAAGTGATCTTACATCCTGAGCCATCGCTCCTGCACCTTCATAATGTAGGATTTGCTTAGTTTACTGTTGTTGTTGTTGATTCTGTTTGTTGGTTAGTTGGTTGGGTATAGAGGTAGGACAGCTCCTGGGTGTTCACTGGCAAGAGATTCTACTTGAAATGAGCTCAGATTCAATGAGACATCCTATCTAAAATAATAATAATAATAGTGTGAAGAGAGACATCCTGATGTCAGTCTGGTCTCTATGCATGCCCTCACTGGTGAGTACACTAATGTAGGCATATGCATATGCCAAGCAAACAAATCATCAATATCACTGTTGTCCTCAGATCCACCATCATTGTCATTGTCAAAGTTAAAGGACTGCAAAGAGCCAGTTCCCATCGGTTAAGGGTTGGAATAATATATTTGAAATATTTTGTTAATCTCCAGTAAATGACACTCCAAGAAACAAAAAGACCATGGAATAATGTAATGATCTAAATATGTATACAGTACAGATTACTTGCATGTACTCTGTGAAGTTAGAGATGCATAAAAACCTTTTGGTGCAACTATGAAACCACCTTTTTAAACTATGCTCAGGTCTCTTCAGTATAAGGCTGATATCTGGGAGCTGAGGCTTGTAATTGGACCATTTTGATGCCCCTCTCTGATCTACCAAAAAGTCCGCATTTAGGAATTGCTCTATTGCCCCTTTAGAGTCCTGTCTAAGTGAGTGGAGATGTAAAGAAAGTTCATCTTCTTCATTAATATGATAAGGTCCATCAGAGTTTGTTTTAATAGACCCATTCCAGACATGGAGAGAGTTCTTTGAATTAGATATTTTTATTTTCATAGAATAGCAAAATTGGAAATTATGCTTCGGTAAAAAAGAGAGAGAGATTATATTATGATAAGGGCTACAAGAAAGGATTGATGCTTCTAACTACCGCAGGCTTTGCAGAACATCAAAAATATAGTTACCCAGCCTAAGGGAAATGTCATGGTGCAATGACTGGTGTGCACTAGTTACTAGTGCCCTCTGCTGGGCAGAATTAGTATTCTGTGCTCCAGGAGGGCTGTAGCTGAGCTGGCTTCTCTTCCTTGATAATACCAGAAAAACCCATGGGTCTGTATCTCATCCATTTCTGGTGCCATTGTTGTAGAACACCTAACACCCTGCAACTCACTGAGGATAAAAAAGATCTTTCCAAGTGAAAGACAAAATACAGAGATTCACTCCTACTATGTCTCGACCAAATAATAATAATAATAATAATAATAATAATGGTTTGTAATTTGCATACTCTCATAGAGTAGCTTCTTTCTGCTGTCTTTTCAACAAACCATTGGGCTGAATCCTTACATTTAAAGGTTCTCCATGGGTACATTCCCCTATCTTTTCATTTTCCCTAAAAACATTTCTTTGTAAAACGATAAATTCCATGGATTTTCCATTGTGAAAATCCATCTGTGTCGTTGTCATTTCAAATCTTGGCAGTAGCCATGACATTGCTCACCTCAGAAGGCTCCAGTTTATCATAAATGATCAGTTGCCCAGAGTGTGAAATCAAAGCGAGGGGAACATAAAAGACCTCCCCCTGGTGCCGAGTCCTTCAAGGCCAGTTCAGAGCAGCAGGCCAGCGGTAGGAGACACAGCAGTGTGGGTGTGCAGAGGCTCCCGTGCGAAGTGCACTGTTCGTCACACCCCCTGAGTTTGATTGTTGAATGGAAGGTTCAAACATATTTCCTCAACTCAAAGCAAAAACTAACCTGAAAACATAAATTGGCCCATTTGGGCTTCAAACTTGACCCAAATGTACAAAAAGGGGTTCTTAACTTCAGGGAACCTGTCCAACCTTTGAGTTTGTTAAGAAGCCCAGACAAGAAGGCCTTTATAGTTACCAGAGGTCTGCATGTCACCTCGTCAATGGAAGTCTGCTGTTAATAAAAGCTGCTCCCCACATGGAGGGGCACCAACCCGCTGCGCCTTAGAAGTCCCCAAATGTTCTGCAATGGTACC